AAAAAATAAGATCCAAGAGACTCATGTAATGGTACAAGATCCCAGTGATGAATGTAACTGTATTGTATACCTAAAATGTACCAATAAACTTAATGGGGGGAAAAAAGATGTAGTTTTTCACATCTTCACAGTGAGAATCTTAATATTCTCCATTGGGCTGATATAGCACAATGTATAGTATTTGTTTAGCATACATGAGCTTCTGGGTTCGATATTCAATTTTGTAAAAAAAAAAGGTAACTTTGAAATAGTGCTCAGCTCTCAGGATGTTTGGAGACTGAGTGAAATAACTGATATGGAGTTATTCTTTAAAATGTAAGAGGCTATGTAGATACAAGTCTGTGGTTCAGAAAGGATATCATGATGAATATATTATTCATGTACATCATAAGTTCACTTTCCCTGAGAAAGACACACTGACATGGGTTTTGCTCAGGTATCTCTTGTGTTTCCTCCCACAGGCCAATGGCAGGTGCTTGGGCCATACAAGCCTGTAGAGGCCTTGGTGGGGGAGGACATAGTATTCTCCTGCTTCCTCTCTCCTGAGCCAAATGCAGAGGCCATGGAAGTGATGTTCTTCAAGGATCGATTCTCTACTGTGGTCCATCTGTATAAGGATGGAGAAGACCAGAAATACATGCAAGTGCCAGGCTATCAAGGGAGAACTGTGCTGGTGAAGGACTTCATGGCAGATGGGCATGTATCTGTGGCATTGAAGAACATCACCCTTTCAGATGCTAGCCTATATGGGTGCTGGTTTAACTCCCAGACCTATAACAGAGAGGCTATCTTGGAGCTGAAAGTGTCAGGTCAGTTTATTTCAGAGAAATTATAATTTAATTGCATCATCTTGGATATTTTGACAGTTGTTAAATTTGGATATTTTAAATCTTACGTCATGCAGTTAGAAGACAGCATGACCTCTCTGTTCTGTTGGTGTGTGTGTTATATGTTATTTTATTTCATGTGTAGATTCATATAACCAACTCCACATCAAGGTGTACAACAGTTGCACCACCAAAGCCTTCCTCTGCTATCATTTTGTAGTTACACTCACGCTTTCTCTTGTGTAACCATTCCAAACTATAGCAGTGACTAAATCTGTTCTCTATCTTCATAATTTTGTCACTTCAGGAATTTTATATAAATGGAAACATATGTATGCAAACTTTTCATTATAATTATTTATGCATAATATTCTTTATTGAGTTTATGGATACATTTAAGTATGCCTTATGATCACATTCATC